AATGCACAGGGTATTTTGGATGGAAAATTCATTTGTGTGTTGTGATGGTGTATAGTGAATTAATGTAGAAAATGAATAAATTTTTTAAAAATTAAAAAAAAAAAAAAAAACAGAGGATGGGTTTAAAAAGTTTGTTCTCCGAGCCGCAGTCGGGCAGGAGAAGGGATGCCACACAGAGCACGCTCACTCGAGCGCAGCACCGCAGCCCGGGTCCACACCGCCCCTGCGCTAGGTCGCAGCCCCTATACTCTGATTTTTTCACATCAAAATGAACTTGTGTTTTAATTCTATTTTTCCACAAACTTCTTTGAAATTTCCTTATAAAAGCTATAAAGTGTCTATAGTTACGGTCACATTATATCTAAAAGAAAAGAGTCTGAAAAGTTAAACAATTTGGCCAAGATCATCCAGCAGGTAATAAGCACAAAGGAATTCAACCAAGACTTTTGAACATAACATCCATTTTCACATCACCTTATGCTTCACCCTTCCCAAAACCCAATTCTAGAACTGAATGGTGGCACTGTAGTGAGGCGTAACACTCTGTGAGGGAATTCCACACAGAAGGGTTGTTGGTTTATATCTGGAGACCTCCCTGAATACACCAGGCATGCATGGGCCCATGCTTCAGGCTGGCCAAAGCTTGGGGGTGGACTGTGGCATTGAGACACTTTCAGGTGTGCTGCTTTCGGTCGCTATCATTCAGTCTCTCTCACGCATGGAATAAATAAAACTTTTTTAAAGAGACTCAGTAAATGCTTGACCAACAAATGAAACTCTGACTCAAATGCTGATTTACCTTCTTTCTCTCTACAAGACTCCCTAGAACCGTCAGTTGACATCATCTAGCTCTCCTTAAACTTGGCCAACTTAATCCATGAATACTGTCTCACTCACTGATACAAGCTGAATGTCTGTGTCTCTACCAAATTCACATACTGAAAGTTCTAACCTCCAATGTGATGTTATCTGGAGGTGGGCCTTTATTTTACAGATGAGGATGTAGGCCCTCTCTGCTCTTTTGTTTTTCAGGGATTTAGTTTTGTTTTCTGAATCTTTAGTTTCGAGGACATCTACCTATGATTTGGTGCCTGTGAAATGCACTGGCCCCAAATAGAGAAACTATGATTTTCTCTTATGCGTCCTTTACATTGCAAGGTACCCAGCAGGCATTTTGATACTACTATGATATCTAGCAACTGGGTGAAAGTGTATAAAAAATGAGACAGTGGAGCCAAAACACTCCAAGATATCAATTGTTAAATTCACTATTAATTCCTTAAGCGATCTACTATATTTTCCCCAAAATGGGTAATGCTGGTCTGCTCTAGGCTACTGCTGAAACTTTTAGGAATTTCTTGCTCCAAGGTAATAAGTATTGATGAAGGTCAAGGGACAAACTAGGCTAACACCTTCGGATTACATCAAGATTTGAATTCTTCAGATGCTTCTTTCTAGACTAACATTGTTGGAGTTCAACCTCACAAAGCCTAAGAAATTTTATGTAGAGCTGATCAGTGTCTTCAAACCTGATCACTAAAAGGAAGACTTTAAAAACATTGCTTTCTCTTGTAAAATAAGAATGAGGAAATCTTAAGGGATCAAAATAGAACAACATATGGGAAGAGATTATGGGATTACCTACTTGATATGCCTTAGAATGAGACACAGGAAACTTCTCAATCTTTCTGAAGAAATCATTATAAATTCATACTAAACAACTAAATTCTATGCCTTTCACATAAATACAAAACAAAGAAGCAGAGACTAAAAAACACTAGTAGGTATTTCTTTATTCAATAACACTCATATTAAGTCTATAACAAACTAAAAGATAATCTATTCAGAACAGTGAATTTGTACTCAATGTTACCATATAAACTCAGCTTATTTTCTACTCCTGTCTTTTGGAATTCCAAATTTAGTCTACTAAGCATGAGATAAACAATAAGCAGCATTAGTTCAGGACTCTCTTCAATGATAGAAAGGGCTCAGGAATGGTTTATTTCAATGAATTGAAATTGCAACTAACAAAATATTGACTACTACATTTCAAACTGTTTTAGTTGCTTAATCGAAGACAAAAAATGTAAAAAGATTTCAATAAAAATTTACATTGATGAAACTCTACAAACCCCCATAATACAAACAAAATGATGAGATTCACTAAATACATTTTATTCTCTCTGGTTCAGGCACATGTGCACACACAAACGTATATGCATGCGTGCACACACACACACACACACACACACACACACACAAATAAGCCTCTTATGAATAGCAGCTGATCAGCTAAAGAAAATGATAAAGATTACTAGACAAAAAATGTAAAAAGATTTCAATAAAAATTTACATTGATGAAACTCTACAAACCCCCATAATACAAACAAAATGATGAGATTCACTAAATACATTTTATTCTCTCTGGTTCAGGCACATGTGCACACACAAACGTATATGCATGCGTGCACACACACACACACACACACACACACACACAAATAAGCCTCTTATGAATAGCAGCTGATCAGCTAAAGAAAATGATAAAGATTACTACGCATTTTATGGTCAATGATAGTATTCAATCTTCGTAGTTTTAAAGAACAAGCTTAGTATAGATCTAACATTGAGCCAATCAAAAATTTATAGAGTGCCAAACTCTAGCAGCAGGTAATTCCCACGGACTATTTTTCTTACAAAATCTGGTTCCTGTAAGCGCATATCCCAGATGACTCTGGACTTCAGATGAGTAGGATAAACAATGGAAAGGAGGCCCAAGTGGCCAACAGTATGGAATCTGAGTAATAGCATTGTGTCACAAAAAGTTCCAACAAGTGGCTATTCTTCCTTTCCTCACATTCTAATGAAGCAAATAGCTAACAAGGTAAACAGGTTTGGCCAGGACTGTTCTGCCTTCAGCAATGTGAAAATTGCTTTTTGTGGTGAGCAGAGGAAAGTTAAATTTTTAAGTGGAACATGGCCATCAGATGCCAGGTAAATTATTAACTTCTAATTTGATGACAGAGAATTTGCATTTATATCCTAATTTTACCCTAATTTTTTTTACCATTAGCACGTGCTTCAGGATAATTTATTGTCCTTGCCAAAACACACAAACAAACAGAAATGGGTAAAGAACTGGAAAACCAACAAAGCAACATGGTTTGATTCCATTTCTTCTAATCACTTTCTTGCCAACCTATTTTCTGTCTTAAATAGTTTCTGTTCCTGTGCAAATCAATCATTTTGAAATTCATACTTTAAATATGATACTGAAAATATTAATACTGATTGCATTGCCATTAAAAAGCAACATTATGGGCCTGTTTTGAGACACATCCCATCCTTCCCACAATCAGCACTCACCTTCAGGGAAAGCATGTGGCTGTACCACATAGAGGAAGAGGTGCACCATTCGATAAAGAATGCCAACAGGTCCGGTTTTATAGGAGTCTTGGGTTTCATACTGCATGGGAGGCAACTCATAATTCAATGCTCCAGGAGTCTCTGTGGTTGAAGGCTGCTCTTCTGACACAGAGTTCCCACAGAGTCCCAGCAGCAGGAAGAAGCCAAGCGTGGGGGCCATAGCTAGTAAGATGCCCCAAACATGAGGTAGAACAGGGTGCCTCCTGCCTCAGAACTTCTGAGAAAGGTTGGGGAAGGCAGTGAGGGTCCTATGGGCACTGGCCTGCAGATCCTTTAGTTTTCTGGCTGGGCTGGCTTGCGGAAAGAAGTACAGATAATCATTCTCCAAGACGGTCATTCATTCAAGGAACCAGCCCTGGTGGAGAGAAAAACAACAGCAGTCACTAGTGCATGTGACCTACCTGCACCCGGAGCTGCCCAGGAGAAAGCTGCAAAGCCTTAGAACAAGCCCTCCAGCCTAATCCGGGTAGAAGGAAACCATACACACGGCCAGCTCCACCACAATGGGGGAGGCAGTGGCATGAAAATGAAGACTCAGAGACCGCCCACACCCAGAACACCAGGTAGTAGGGAGCAGGCTATGTGGTCTTGGAAACAAACATCTTTTGAGTACTTACAATATTACAGACCCAGCTCTACATGCTTCAGAGGCAGGACCTCATTTTAAGGTGCTATTCTCTTTCACAGAAGAGAAATCTGATGCAGAGGATTGTGGTGACTTGCTTGAAGTCACAGGAGATAAGGGAGGGATGAAAATTCAAACTCACTAGTTTGCCTGCAGAGCCCTAGCTCTCACCAGGACACTGTCCAGCTTCAGTTAACGTTGAGAGGCACTCAGCAATGGCCTATAGGTGCTCCTTAACTTACAATGGGTTTATATCACAATAAAACCATCAAAATTGAAAATAGTGTTAAATCGAAACCACATTTAATACTCCTAACCTACTTCATAGATTAACACAGCCTACTTTAACTTGCTCAGAACTTAAATTAGCCCACAGTTGAACAAAATCATCTGACACAAAGCAGAAAGTTTGGCTGCTGCTACACAGCATCATGAGAGAATATAGTGCAGAATATCACCCACTGAGGAAAAGATCAACATTCAAAGTAAAGGCAAAACCTCTTAAGTATGAACCATCACATGTCTGAAACTGTCTATGTATGCTTATTTTTTTCTCCAAGTTTGTGGTGTTCTCCCTGTCTCTGGGTGTTTATCTTACTTTGCCTTATATTCTACTTATTTTTTCACTGACCTATTTTAAACATCTGCCTCTATACCTTACCCTCCCAGATTAAAAGAGAATGGCCTCAAGGTCAGAGACTAAACTGAGACCCCATAACACTGGATTCTTTCTAAAAAGACCACCAAGTAATCATGATGGAAACCTTTGCTTCAAGTCACCATAGCCACAGCCAGGGGACTAGGAAACTAGTCTGGCAGAGGGAGACCACCAACCTCTGAGAGAGGTTAAAAAGAAACAGGAATTCTAAAACCAACTATCAGCCAGTGTCTGGGGAGGGAACGGACCAGAAAGTAACTCCCTGCTGGACCCAGCAGAGCATGGGCATGGCACCCAGGCGGTGGTTAGTAAGAACCTACCGAGTGCAATAAAGCGGTCAAAATAACTGATTTCCTCATGCTGTTTCCTGAGGTGAGGTAAATCAGCACAGAATACAGAAGTAGGATCTGGGATGTCTTGCTCCTCCTCTGTCCTGGTATTCTGGAACACACTGTTGTCATTTTGTGCTACTAAAACACACACTGTGATGAGAACCACCAACAGTTAGTGTGATGGCTATGTCGCTGGACTCCCATGTAGTAGACCGCGGTTTGCATCCCAGACCCGGTGGCTTAAAACTCACGTGGGGCGCGTGTGCTTGCGTGCCCAAGATCCCGAGAGGAGGATAGAGGAGAAGGGATTACGGCGTGACCATCCCCCCTGGGGGGTAATTCCTCGCTTTCTGTCTCTATGTCTCTCTGTCTGTCTGGCGAGCGCATGCGCCCTATAGCGAAAACCTCTCAAAAAAAACAAAACAAAACAAAACAAAACAAAAAACAAAAAAACACTGTGAGATGGAGATGATAAAGAAAGTGACACCTTTTACAAGGGACCAGAAAGCCCATCACCTATGTTTCAAATCAAAGAAAGCACCAGAGAAGAAGTAGGATTTCATGATCCCTTTAAAAGATGTAAATTCTGACCTAATCCCCTTTGATATTTGCCTCATCTTCTAAATCCCATTTTACTTCAATTACTTCTGCATTATGCTACCAATAAGAAGACCCTACACTCTCTGTTTACCAAATCATGGGCTGCTCAGATTCCCAAGAGGCTCCCATATCAACCTTCCTTCACCCCAGGCTTCAGCTTCAACCCCGGCCCTCCATCACACTCACATACATCATGGTCCTGATACGTCATGGCCCTGATACAGGGTCCCTTTAGACAACTGTCATACACACGCATACTACACTCACACCTTATCTTGTCTTTTGATAAAAGACAATCTAGGAGCTAAGACTCAAGCACAGCAGCTAGAAGGATTAAAGGCTCAGCCCCAGAAAAAGGCTCCCTTCCTGGTAATGCCACCAAGCCTCAGCAGGGATGAAAACAGCCCAACCCAAGGGAGAGCTATGAATAAACAGGCTTTCTAACTCCTTCGGTGAAATGGCAGGGGAAGGGCAATCCCAAATGAAATGAAACACTATTGCTCACTGCTGCAAAAGTGGAGGTAGCAATGGACTGAGAAAGCAACTGGAGTGTTGCTTGCCCAGATTACTTCACATTTTGCTATAAAGTATAGGTCTCTCTTAAATTTTAAAGTAAATTTCAAGAAAAATATTAAAATCTCACTAACTATAAAACTATAACATTTGATTAAATTCAAGTCAAAAGGGGAGAGTTTATGGAAAAGGGAATTCTTCTGCACTGTTAGTGGGAATGAAATTAGTATAGCCACTATAAAAAAAGTTTGGAGTTTCTTTCAAAAACTAAAAGTAGAACTATCTTATGATCTCGTAATCCCATAACTGGATATATACACAAAGGAAATCAGTATGTCAAAGAGACACGGCAGCATTAGCCAGAATAGTTAAGATATATAGAGTCAACCTAAGAGTCCAAAAAAGAGATGAATGAATACAGAAAATGTGGTGTATATGACACAATGGAATATTGCTCATGCATCAAAAAAGAATAAAATCCTGCCATACGTGACAACATATTATAGAAGTAGAGAGCACAATGGTAGATTCTAGAAGCTGGGAAGCAGTGGGGGATATGGAGGATAGGGAGAACTTGTTGACCAGACACAAGAATGCACACAGAGGTAGAGTGAGTTCTAGAGCACTGAACCATATACAGTAATTATAATCGGTGAAAATTTAATGTTTATTAATAATAGCTAGAAGAGAAGACTTCAAATGTTCACAACACAAAGTAATTTAAGGGTCTGAGATAATGGACATGTTTATTTGCCTTGATTTGGTCATTATACATCATATTCACATACTGAAAAATCACTGTGCTGCACTAATATGTGCAGCTATTATATGTTCATTTAAATGATAATAAAAGATTAATTAATCTTTTTTTTTTTTTTTTTTTTAAAGAGGTGAGTTTTTCATCTTGGCTTTAATCGGTATTGCCAAAACAGAAACCTGTTAATCCCTATTAGGACCCAAGAACCACTGAGAGTAGCTCAAAGAACTGCCAGCATAAAATCCAAGACATTCTCATGGACCAACATTTATGTCAGCATAAAATGGGTTATTTACTTAAAATGCACATAACCCAACTAGTACCTGGAATGAGGCTCATAAATCTGCATTTTTAACAAGCTCTCCTGGAGATTCACTCTTACGACTAGTGTGAGAATGGACACTATCCCTGGAGTACCTGCCTGGCCAATTCATACAGCTTTCTAACGGACAGTTCATGCCTTCCTAAAAACAACTACAGGACAGATGCAAAGTAAAAGCTCCCCAAAAGCCTTTCTTTCTTTCTTTCTTTTAAGAATTATTTCTTTAATTTTGGGGGCCGGTAGATGGTGTGGCAATTAAGGGCACTGGACTCCCCCATGGCTGACCATGGTTCCCAGAACTGGTAGCTTGCCTTCTCACTTTCCCTCTCTCTCTCTCTCTCTCTCAATTCTCTCTCTCTCTCTCTTTGTCCCTCTCTGGTCAAATTTAAATAAATAAATAAAGTTAAATAAAATCATTATTTTTTAAAAAGAATTCTTTAATTTTATTCATTATTATTATTTTAGGGAGATTTTTGCTATAGGGCATATGCTCACCAAAGAGACAATGAGACAGAAAGCCAGCAATCACCCCTCCCCTCAAGGGAAATGGTCACGTCACACTCCCTTCTCATCCATTCTCCTCTTGGGATCTTGGACATGCACACACACACACTCGGCATGAGTTTCAAGCCACCCCGGTCAGGGTTGCAAACCGCAGTCAGCCATGTGGGAGTCCAATGAAGTAACCATTATGCCATCTGCTGGTCCCATTATTATTATTATTATTTTTTAATTTACTATAGGGCACGTGCACTCACCAGAGGCAGACAGAAAGACAGACAGAGAGAGAGAGAGGGAAAGTGAGAGAGCAAAACACCAGGTCTGGGACTCAAACCACAGTCAGTTATGTGGTAGTGCAGCATCTTAACCACCATGCCATCTGCTGGCCCCCAAAATGCCGTTCTCATACTGTCTTGAACTGATTTATCCCAGCTGCTATGCAGAGTCCATAACTTACCTTTGTGTCTCTAGGGCCTGACACACAGTAGGTACTCAATAAAAGTTGCTGAAATAATACAGGGCAAGTGTGTGTGTGTGGGGGGGGAGAGGCTAACACAAAATGGTCATATTTATTTCAAAGTCATATTAAGCATTTATTTACCACTAGTACTTATAGCCTCTGGAAAGGCTAGAGAGGACAAGTCCAACCCTACCTATGGGACCACTTGTAGCTATTTCCTCCCACATAAGCAGCAGACCGTCTCTTTACTGGATTTACCTATGGCAGAACAACTGGTCAACCATTCTGGGGAAGGTACCTCCTGAAGCTACCTCAACGTCATAGGCTTTAGAAATTGCTTCCTTGGGTGCTATCGCCTTAAACAGACTATTAAAAAAGGCTATCTCACCATTTTCCTGATTTATAGAGTATAGATTCCTGGTTTCCCACTCCAAATGCACTGAATTCAAGCTAAAGGGCCCAAGAAAGCCCATTTTAAACAAATACCTCACATGATTCCGAGTCTGGACTCTGGAGAAATGCATTTTTTTTTTTTTTTTGGAGAGGTTTTTGCTATAGGGCGCGTGTACTCGCCAGACAGAGAGAGA